CTTTTGGGAATCAAATACAATCTTCTAACAGATAAAATGCTTTCTAATGCTCTGAAAGGCAGCTCTGGTAGTGTAGAGCTTAAGGCACTTAACTGCTAACCAGAAGGCTGACGGTTCAAACCCACCAGCCACTCCTCAGAAGGAAAATGGGGCAATCTACTTCCGTAGTGATACTGCCTCGGAAACCCAAGGAGGAGTCACTATGAGTCGGGTCCGACTCGACGGCACATAACAACAACAACAACAATGCTCTGAAATAGAATTCTGTCCCACTTAATTGATGGCGTAGTACCTAAGGCATTTGACTGCTAACCAGAAGGTTGGTGGTTCAAACCTATCAGCCACTCCATGAAAGGAAGACTAGACCATCTACTTCTATAAAGATTAACTGCCTCAGAAACCCAAAGGGGGTTGCTATGAGTCAGAATCAACTCAATGGCGGTGAGTTTGGTTGTGTGGTTTTTTTTTTAGTTTAACTAACCTCAGCTCATCATTCTCTCACATCAATTTTTTTCTTCATATAAGTTGTAGATCTTGTCCTGGAATGGATAACATGAACACTAACAGAGCAGGGACTGAATTTAGATAGGAATAGATTTAGTTGCCTTCTGAAGCTCTGAGATAGCTTTCTCACTCAATCACCCCTCCTCTCCAGCATGTGACTAAGGTGCTCTCTCATCCCTTAGCAGCTAAGAAACAAGAGTTGAAGGAAGATTTTCTACTGAAATTATATTATTAATAGATTTATATACTCCCTCTGCCTCCTTAAGGAAGGGATTGATTCTTCCCGTAAAAGGAAAGTTCACATCTAAATGTTAGTGAGTCCAAGATCACGGTATTTATCTAAACATTCTCTAAGGAAACCTTATCTAGTGTGAAGGCTTTCAATAACATCTACATACAGGTGACTGCCAAATGCCCATCTCTGGCCTTGACTTTTCCTGAGTTGCTTTCTCAGTGTATCAGCTTGGCTATCTGTCACCCATTTTGGACTTCACACAGTAAAATCAGAATTCTCCCCTTCTGGACTTGCTCCTCTCACTCTTTCCCACAATCACAAACAATTACTGCATGCCTATAATATATCAGAAAACACTCCGGTTGTGCAGTGGTTAAAACATTCAGCTGCTAACCAAAAGGCCATCAATTTGAACCCACCAGCTACTCCGAGGGAGAAAGATGAGGCAGTCTGCTACTGTAAAGATTTACAGCCTCAGAAACCCTATGGGGCAGTTCTACTCTGTCCTATACAGTGGCTTTGAGTCAGAATCGACTCAATGGCAGTGGGTTGATAACATGTTAAAAACTGTCCTGCATGTAAAACATGTTCTGCATGTTTCACACTGAATCTTTACTACCTATGAAATATGTACTAATATCATCCTCATTTAAAAAATGAGGCTAGATTTCAACCCAAGCAAATGGATGCTTTAATCCACAACATGAACAACAATGCTGCACTGTCATTGTAGTAAACAGTCCCTATACCCATCCAGTAGCTAATTATGACTCAAAGACCTAACAGTCACACTTGATCTCTATTTTGCTCACCACCTACCTCCAAGACATTGGAAAGCCTGTTGGCCCGACCTCCAAATCCTATCCCTTATTGGCCCAAGGCTCTCCCTCTCCACTCTTAGTACCATCATCCATCTAGACTACTGCAGAAACTTCACAAGTAGTGGTTTGGTTTCCACTCATGACCCTCCCTCCACAATCTATATTATAAGAAACAACACAGATTCAGAACAGGTCACTCCCTGCTTCAAACTCTCCAATGCATCCAAAGCCTTCAGTTATTCCAAAAAGCCTCACTCCTCTCCATGACTTGGGAGGCCTAGACACTCTGACCTCACTTCATCTCACTACACACCAGACTAAAATGCTTTCTTTTGTTTCTTCAAACTTGCAAAGCTGGTTCTAGACTTAGGGCCCATGCAGCAACTTTTTCCTTGCTACAAGAGCTCACCCCCAGATTTTCACAAGACTGTCTATTTCTTGTCAGTCAAGGAGTCAGCTCAAAGTAACCTCCTAAAACAGGATTTCTCTGATCACCCAATCAAACAGCTTCTACCTCTCCTCCCAGTCACTCTCTAACACATCACTCTAATCACCCTATGTCATTTTCTTCAAAGCATTTCCTGATATTTCTTCATCATTTCATGAGTTGTTTCTCATTCCCTTCTGATTTCAGATTTCAGGAGAGTAGGAATCTTGTCTGTTTTGTTGATTCCCGTATCCAAAGGAATTAGCTTAAACCCTGGCCAAAAATGCCTAATAGTATATTTGTCATTAACATTTGTTGAGTGAATAAGTGTCACTTACTCATTATAGGTTGAAGTGACAGGTTGATGTGGAGAAGGAATAACCCTACTAGTATACGCCACAAGCTCCGTGTGACATGACCTCAGCTACTTCTTGCTATCTGCACAACACTGATTTACTTCTCTCCTGCTTGAACCTTCTTCACAAGGCTGTGCTTCCTCGAAGGCTCCTTCCACCACTCTTGGCCTGACTAACTCACCCTTCAGAGCTCTGCTTAAGCATCACTTACCTATGGAAACCTGCCCAGAGACCCAGGCTAGGTTTGATCTCCTGCTATGCACTCCCACAACACCCTGTAGTTTTCTGCACCTCTCTTTTCACATTTAACTGGATATTTAACTCATCTCATTTAACTGGCTATTTGTGATAATTTGTAAAGAATCAAATAAAAACAAACAAACAAAACAAAACACACATACACACACAAAAAAAACTTTATTTTCCTGACTATACTGTAAGCTACAGAGAACGAAACTGTCCTATTCATCCAACAAGAAACTTGACACTAAGTTGAATGACTGGTTATGAGTTATTTGTTTTTCAATATGGGAAACATACAAACTACATATTATCTCCCATCCAAAGAGGCTAAAAGCCTTCCTTGAATTTGCTTGCTTTAGTCCAAGTCCCAGGAAGGAAACCTCTTCCCTGACTGCCTACCTTCCATCCTATGCCTATCAGACCTAGGGCAAAACATGACATTTATCTTGGATACACTCTCTGCCGAGCTGTTTCTGCCACTCCTCCATCCTCAACCAGAATTTCTGGAATTTTCTTGCCCTTCATTTGGTTAGCTTATCCCTGAAATGTCATCAGGGAGGCCAAGCAGAAAGATCCTTCCTGGTTCTTACACTCCAGAAGGAAGTTCAGATCAGTGTGACATGCAGCCTGGGGACCTAGATTAAATACAGACTGAACCTGACCCAGGGAACCGGAGATTGTTTAGCCTTACTACCGGGACCATTACAGGCAATTAAAGTACAAAGATGGAGATAAGAACTACTGTAAGATAAGTTCATTTAGTGCCTACAACACAGCTGTTCTTTTCAGGATATTATTCATATGATACTGCAATATATATTTTGAAGTGATGCACATCAATGTGTGGTTTCATATCTTCTTTCATTAGTCATCATCTGGTTGGGGAAGGTTGGTTAGCCTACAGAGATAAATTGAAGGAATCCCTGGCTCCATTCTGCCCTACTCTGGGCTGTGCCCTGCATTGTCTGGATAAGCCCTTAGGATGCATAAGCAAAGAAACCAATAGCATTTTTGGCTCGTGTTACAGGGAAGAGAGACATTCTCCTTTCACATAAAAACCAGGGAGCCACACTGGGAAGACATCTTACATCCAATTCCTTGTATAAAAGCTTTACACAGAAGCTAAAGATCTTAGACTTTATTTCACAGCAACCAGCAAGCAAATACGGCCCCAGCAAAACTGAAATAATTGTTGTGGATCACTGGCATCTCTTTCTATTATGAGGTCTCTAAGTCCAGGGGAAAAGTACCAGCAAAGAAAATAATTGATTCATACTTAGGTATTAGGAAAGGAGCTCTGGTGGCATAGTGCCCAAGGCATTTGACTGCTAACCAGAAGCCTGGAGGTTTAAACCCACCAGCTACTCCTCGGAAGGAAGGAAGGTTGGGCAATCTACTTCCACAGTGGTATCGCCTTGGAAACGCAAGGAGAGGTCTCTATGAGTCAGGTTCGACTGGATGGCAGTGAGTTTGGTTTAGGTATTAGGAATGCAATATCTTTCCTTTTCAATGGTGATACCAGGGAAGAAAATAAATAATCTGAAGAAATGTCTTGATGATGTAATTTGGAGCTAGTTAGGATTAGGGATAGGAAGCTTCTGTGATTTCACCAACACCTGCACCCTTAATACACAAAAAGAGGAAAAATCACCTATATGGTCACCTTCTCCTTGGTACAAGATCGAGACAGGTAAGCAAAATAAAAGTACTATAAAAGTTAAATTTCACATAACTTAAAAAAATTAATACAGTAAAAAGTACACTTGTAGGATAACCAAAGCTTTTTTGTTCCTTTACTAATTCAAGACAAGAAGATAATAGCAAAGCCAAAAACATCTCTGTTGTCCTAAATCTGGCTCTAAATATTCCCTAGAATACTTTGGGATAAGACATACATCCTCAAAAGATGAGAAGTACAAGTTTTTCTTTTTTGATAATTGCCAACAAGGTTGTATTAAAATCGTTGACCACTATGATAGAAATTCAAAACGTGTAGTGAGGGTCAAGTATTCTGAGGAGAAAACACCCACCCATTTACAGTTTTTAGGAGAAAAAATTAGAAAAATACATATTTAATAGATGTTTGAAAATATATGATAAAGATAAAAAATTTAAACCACAAAACCCTGGGAAAGTGGTCTCAGTGAAAACAGAGTTTCAGTGGTCAAAGCTTTATTTTACGAAGCGGCTTTATAAGTCTCTTTCGTGTGCAGCATATTCAATTATTACACATACTTCTATACTGGTTCTAGAGATAATATTTTTTTCTAGTTATAAGCACCAAATTAGCCTTATAAGGACATTGTGTGTTGAATTAGCCTTATAAGGGCATTGTGCATTGGGGCAGGGGAGGGGTGAAGAGTGACAATAAAGGCCAACTAAATTTTTAAAAATTCTGTTAATGTCATACTTACGCAGTAGTAGTTTGCATGTCATGCCAGCTTTTGCTGAAGTTCTGCTTTAATTCATTCATTAGGTTCATGCCAAGTTTTTGTTTTATCTCAACCAGATGCCTTTCTTTTGCTGATAAAACTTGTCGTAAAGTTGTAATTTCGTCTTCCAGCTGAAGGTAGGGGAGAAAACGTTGGGGAAAAATGTCAGACTAGCAAAAAATTGTAGCTGAACAGTGTGCAAAGTAGCCTTCTGCATCCTCTTGTTTAAAGAGTTCCCTGCTTGCCTATAACAAATAGAGATATAGTCTACTCTAAAATTAAAAAGAAGTAGATTTATTGGCTCTAATATAAAAGGAGCTCTGGTAGCATAGTGCCTAAGGCAATTGACTGCTAACCAGAAGCCTGGCAGTTCAAACCCACCAGCCACTCCTCAGAAGGAAGATGGGGTAATCTACTTCCGTAGTGATACTGCCTCACCAACCCAAGGAGGGGTCACTATGAGTTGGGTCCAACTTGATAGCACATAACAACAACAACAACAACAAGATAAAAGTAATCGATGTTTCTGCAGAAAATTCAGATAGTACAGAGAAATATAAAGAAGAAAATAAAAGCTCACCTGTTTTCCACTAGGAAATAGCCAATCCTTATTTCTTCCTTTCTAATCTTATAAATATTCTTCTGAAGTTGTAGATCGATATAATTTTTTAACAAAAATTTGTTTTGTACTCCACACCTTATTTTATAAACAACTTCTTTCCAATTATCAGTATGCCCTAGGGATTTTCTCATATTAATGAAAATAGTTATACATCCATTAAGGAGCAACCTATATGCCCTTATGATTATATGATTATAGAATAATTTACCAGTTAGCTGTCAAATGATAGTACTTAGATTTTTCTTCTCTATTATGAAAAATGATGTAATGAATATTCACACAGTCTGATTACACTTCAACACAGTCTAGAAGTGGAAGGGCACACATTTTTTTAAGGCTTTGAAGCACAATTTCAAAATCCTTTACAGAAAATATTCACTAATTTATGGCCCCACAACCATGTATGAAAATTCACCACACCCTCAATATCAAAGGATGTTGCAGCTGTTATTCTTTGCTCCTTTGATATAGAAATATTGTAAATCACTGTTCATTTGACTTGCTCTTTTATCACTCATGAGGATCAACAATTTTTTATAGCTTTAACTTTACACTGAACTTCCCTTGTTCTTAATTTATTTAATTTTGTTGTTGTTGAGAATGTACACAGGAGAACAGACACCAATTCAAAACTTTCCACATGTAAAATTCAGGGACATTGACTACAATCTGTAAGTTGTGTATCCATGCCCACACTCCTTTTCTGAATTGTTCCTTCTCCATTAAAATAAACTCACTACCCCTTAAGTTTCCTATCCTTTCTTTCAAATTGCTGTTGTCAGTTTGATCCAGTATAGATGGATCTTAAAAGAGCACAATGCTCAAGGAAGGCATTCTTTACTATTAAAGCTAAACTATTGTTTGGTGTCAAGAACATTTCAAGAATTTTTGGGGTTTAAGATACAAAGATTATGTCAGGGCAATAGTTCCAGGGCTTCTTCCAGCCTTCATGGCTCCATAAATTCTGGATTCCATTAAAATTTGAAATTCTGTGCTGCATTTTACCCCTTTTGAGCTAGATTCTTCTGTAGACTCTTTGATCAAAATGTTCAGCAATGGTAGCAGGGCACCATCCACTTCTTCTGGTATCATGGTACATAAGGCAGTTGTTCATGGTCTCAAAGTTATTTTTATAATTGCTTAGTAATGACTCTTGACTATGCTCTTGGATATGAGTGGCTTTCTTTTTACAGGTGTATATACTAATGATCTTAGTTCTTTGTCATTGAAGCTACAAGCATTTTCTCCAGCTTGTGATATGATGTATTTTTTCATGTAGAAGCTTTAAATATTTTAGAGTATAATTTACACATTATTCCTTAATGGATACTTTTGCTTTTGGTTTATATAAGAACTCACACTCAATTACTAATAATCTTTATACACAGAAGTTTGTCAACATCTTCTGGAAGCCTATTATATTTTTATATCAATTCAACAAATATACATTGAATGTCTGCTATGTGCAAGACAGAATAATGTGCTAGAGTTTCATATATAAAAACAAATATGACAACATCTTTCCCTCTAGACTCATATTTCTACTGAAGAAAGCATATGAGGTTCACAGAATTACAATACATTGTTCAATGTGATTAGTGCTATGGTGCAATTAGTGATAACCAACATGTATCAAGACTCACTGTGGGCCAGGTCATCTCCTAAGTGCTTCATATTTTTCAGCTTCAGAGAGGCTCCCTGAGGAAGGTACTTTCATTATACCCGGTTTAGAGATGAGGGCATCGAGACCAGAGAGGTTAAGTAATTTTTTCCAAGGTCACAGCCAGCAAGTGAAAAAGCTAAGATTTGAACCCAGGAAGCCTGGTTCCAGAGCTTTTGCTTTTAACCACTGTATGTTCTAATTCTACTAGTCAGTCTTAAGCACTTTGGGAAGGAAGAGTCATTTCATGTCAAGAATCAGGGTGTGCTTTTGAATTTATATTATGTCTGAACAGAGTTTAAAGGAATGAGTAAGAATCAGGGAAGAGGGAAGAAAGGGGAACAGCATTAACAAAGGAAAAAAAAGAGGTGGGAAAGGAGAGGGTATGTTTAAGAACATACAAACATACACAGATAGAGATATACAGATATAGATATATAACTATGCCACCAGAGCTCCTAATAAAACCCACTCATCTTTATTATCTTTGTTTCCTAATATGGCAGGCAAAAGTTCCCTTCATTATCTGACAGAAGGTATAGTTTCAGGACAAGAAATTTTACACAACTCCATAAACAGAATATTGTCTTGTCTGTGGAGTCATTTCAAGTATCCTCTTCATAGGCCAAGTTCAGAGATAATGAGTATTGGCCATTGTTGATGTCATGGTCACAAAATGTTAGTACTCAAAGGATCCTAAGAATTTTAACAAATACGCCTCCTCCTTCACAGATGAGGCTGCTTGATTGGAGCTGAGACTGGAATCCAGTTTTATCTCAATACAGTTGTCTCCCCTTATTCATGGGGGCTTTGTCCCAAAACCTCCAGTAGATGCCTGAAACTGCAGATAGTACCGAACCCTATGTATGCTAGGTCTTTTTCTATACATATACACTATAACCAAAACCAAACCAAACTCACTGCCATCGAATCGATTGTGACTCACAGCAACCCCTGCTTGAGTTTCTGAGGCAGTATCTTTATGGATGTAGATTGCCCAAACTTCCTTCCAAGGAGTAGCTGGTGGATTTGAACCACCAGCCTTCTGGTTAACAATCAAATGCCTTAGGCACTATGCTACCAGAGCTCCCTATATACCTATACTCACTGCCGTCAAGTTGGATCCAACTCATGGCAAACCCTCCTTGGGTTTCCAAGGCAGCATCTCTGTGGAAGTAGATTGCCCAATCTTCCTTTCAAGGAGTGGCTGGTGGGTCAAACCCACCTGGTTAGCAGTCAAATGCCTTAGGCACTACACCACCAGAGCTCCTTATATACCTATAGTAAAGTTTAATTTATAAATTAGACACAGTAAGAGATTAACAACAATAACTAATAATAAAATAGAGCAATTATTAAGAAAATAAGGGTTACCTGAAAACAAGAAATGTGATACAACAAGAGTTAATCGGATAATCAAGATAGCTACTAAGTGACTAGCGGGTGGGTAGTGTATACAGAGTAGATATGCTGGACAAAGGGATGAATCATGTTCTAAGTGGGACAGAGCAGGATGCCAAAGATTTCATTGCACTACTCAGGGTGGTGTCCAATTTAAAACTTATGAATTATTTATTTCTGGAATTTTCCATTTAATATTTTCCAGCCACAGTTGAATGAAACTGGGGAAAATGAAACCACAGATAAAGGGGGGCAAATGTATTGGTCAAGATTATTTCAGCAAAATAAACATTTTAAGAAAGTAAATCTTTACTGTAAAATAAGCAAATTAGGTTAATTCTTTTATACAGGCATACCTCAGAGATATTGCAGGTTTGCTTCTAGACCACCGCAATAAAGTGAATATCACAATAAAGTGAGTCACACAAATTTTTGGTTCCCTAGAGCATATAGGGGAGCTCTGGTAGCATAGTGCCTAAGGCACTTGACTGTTAACCAGAAGGCTGGCGGTTCAAACCCACCAGCCACTCCTCGGAAGGAAGGTTGGGCAATCCTACTTCCTAGTGATACTGCCTTGGAAACCCAAGGAGGGGTCGCTATGAGTCGGGGCCGACTCTACGGCAAATAACAACAACAACAACAACAACAACAGAGCATATAGAAGTTATATTTACACTGTACTGTAGGCCAGTAAGTGTGAAATAGCATTATGAAAAAGCTTATAATATTGTGAGAATTTAAAAATGTGACACAAAGTGAGCACATGCTGTTGGAAAAATGGCATCATTAGATCTGTTCAACGCCGGGTTTCCACAAACCTTCAATTTGTAAAAAACATGGTATCTAAGAAACACAATAAAATGAAGTGCAGTAAAATGAGTCATGTCTGTACTATGATTTGAGTTATGGATTCTTTCAGTACCCTTTTTAAAAGCCTCCCCTTTTTGGCAAGGTTGTAGTCACTGCTTGGTCACAGCCAGCTACCCAGAGGTACCGAGTAGTTGAACCTGTGGGCTTGGGACCATGGTCGCAGAGGACATCAAGCTCAATTGGCATAACATACTACACAAAACATTGTTGCACCTCCTACTGTGGCAAGGGAGCTCTGGTAGCATAGTGGCTAAAGCACTTGACTGCTAACCAGAAGGCTGGTGGTTCAAACCCACCAGCCACTCCTCGGAAGGAAGGTTGGGCAATCCTACTTCCGTAGTGATACTGCCTCGGAAACCCAAGGAGGGGTCGCTATGAGTCGGGGCCGACTCGACGGCACATAACAACAACAACAACAACACTGTGGCAAGTAGCGGCTGAGATCTTAAAAGCTTGCAAGCTGCCATCTAGATGCAACAATGGGTCTCTCCTTGTCCAGAGCAAAGAAGAATGAAGAAAACCAAAAATTCATGGAAACAATTAGTCTTAGCGACTGGTACACCATCCGATCTGCAGCCTATACATCTATGAGACAGAAGAAATAGATGATGCCTGGCTACTACTGTCAACCACTTAGAAGAACAATGGGGAACAAAACTCAAAATCATTTGGAAAAAAAGAAAAAAAGAGTGGGGAACAGGTTTGCTGGCCCGATGGAGCCTGGTGGAACCACTGAGACCATGGCCCCTAGCTGCCATTCAGGTCTGGAATTGAACGCACACCTGTGGCTTCTAGCCAAACAATGGACAGGCATTTACCTGAGGTAGATACACTCCTTGGAGAGAACAAGCATGAGAGAAAGAAGGGCTGCTCAAACACAGGGAGATAGCTCAGGGGGTAGGAGTGCATGGAGGGATGGACACAGGGAAGAGGTAGCTATTGGGAGGAAGTGGGAGGGGAGAATTTGCATTGTGGTAAATTGTGGTCAATGTCATGAGACAAAGTGTATGTGAACTGCTGTATGGAAAGGGTATTTGCTTTGTAAATTTTCACCCAAATCACAATAATAAATAAATAAATAAAAATAAAATAAAAAGTAATCCTAAAAAAAAAAAAGCCTCCCCTTTTTTCAAACAAAAACTACGCTTAACAATTTACTAAATCAAACTTTATTATGTAAGTTTTCTTAGACCTCATGATACAAACAAACAAAAAACAAACTCATGCTAGAAAAAAATATATTTCTTACTAAAAGTTAAAAAAAAAAAAATATGTGTCAGGGATCCCCAAGACCATCTCCAAGGTTGGGGATCTAATAAAAAGATGCACAAGATGCAGCACGTAATTGTAATCGGGGCTATGATTTATCACAGTGAAAGGATAAGAAGCAAAATCAGCAAATATAAATATCCACTAAAGATATAAAATAATTCACGTTAATTATAAGTATTAATTACACATTGTGGTGGTTATGTTTGTGTGTCAGCTTGGCTAGGCCTGGTTGAGTGGCTGGGCAGCTAGATGTAGTATTCCCCATGATGAGACTGGTAATCAACTTCATGGTGGAATCTACTGGGAGCAGCTGAGTGTCTGCCTCCTGTATATAAGGAGCAGCTTTGAGAATGGTCTCTGGCCTATGGCACGCTTGAACCCTGCATGCAGCTGTGTTGTTGCTCAGCAGCCTGCTATGCTCTGCCGACCTTGGGACTTAAAATGGACTTAAATTAATGTCCTGCCATGTGGTTTGGTAACATTGCGACTGTGCCTTTTACTTATTAACCTTGGGGCTTCTCAGCCTCAGCAGCCAGCAGCTGTTTGAGTGAAGAAATGCCTCTAGCTTCAGTGGGCTGGGAGCAGGAGGCAGAGCTGGACCCCAAGGTTGAGGAGCTTTCATCCAGTCCCTAGAGCCTGGCATTTTGAACTTGGACTTAAAGATTCCAAATTGTAAGAATAAACTGTTTGTTAAGGTCATCCCATTTGTGGTATATTTCCTGTCAGAGCACCACTAGGTAGCCAGAACACACATCTTCTGTGGACAAACCACTGTACTAGATCATAGGTGATACTGGTCTCTCATTCAAGGAACTTTTAAGACACACATATTACATGACTGTAATAATAACTTAAAAAGTAAATGGTGTTCACAGCAAATTTTTCTCTTAAAGTAAAAAATCTGTCCAAGATTTAAGACTTTTGGACACTGTTGGCTAATTTTACGTCTCCCACCAAAAGGACAAATCTTCCTATTGCCAGCACTTGGCAAGCACACAAAAATACGTTGGCTGTGTAAGTAAGTGGAGTTCTACCATCATCCAAAGTCTAAGGGCATCTCTATAGGAATATTAACACAAAACAGTGCAGAGTAAGGCTGAGCAGAGGGGAGAAGAGGAGGGCTGGAGAAAGAGGGATTTGGCATAGCCAGAGGTCAGTAGGAGGTTATGAGGAAACCAGGAAAGGGAATGAAATGAAGAAGAGACTAGATTCCTGGTACACTCTAAAACCTCTTTTAAACAAAACAGGCAGAGGTTAGATGTCCATGTACACAAGACCTTACTTTGGACCGTGGCCACAACTGATTGCCTGACTTAGAGGTAATGACCTAATAGCTTGGCCAGTTTCCTGTGAGACATCCTGTTTCCTGAGTCACCAACAGACCCAAAAGGTCTTTCCTCAGACAAAAAGGATTTGCCCAGACCAGGAGCCCATGAAAATAAATTTGTGAAGGTTTGAGAGACAGGAGCTGAGTCATCTGAAAGATGGTCTAGTTTTTCAAGGCTAGTTGAGTTGGGTCTCTTATTATAATTAAATGCTGGCACATGCAGTAATCTGAATGTATCTATGATCTGAAACACAATTTGTTTTGTACGAGTGTGTGTGCCTATGTATATGTGCGCCCAGGTGTCTGTGTGTAAAAGGGTGGGGAAAGCAGATTTCAGAAAAGAATGAGCATAAAGCAGAGGTGGCTTCAGGTGGAGGAAGAAGAAAAGGAAAATTAAGAAGAAGAAATGCCAAAAGTACATTGCTTTATTTTCCATTTGGCCTGGGCTGTACAGCTGTCCCCATGTGCTCTGGGAGTTACCTGATGTGACTTTTGGCAAGATGCAACAGTTCCTCATCCCTGAAGAACTGAGAAATAAGAAGCAACAAAGTGAATGCATTCTGAATGAGGCCAACACAAATCCCAATAACTTGGACACAATAACAAGGAGTCTAGTGATACTTTCAAAAGTCAGGTTCAAAAAGTCTTAGGAATGACATGAGCTGGAAGCTGATTGACGTGGCCTATGAAACAAGAATTTATGAAAACACTGCTAAATTTTTATGTTCATTAGGGTATTCAATTTAGACTGTTCACCTTTCTCTTGATTATTAAAGTAATGTGTGTTCATTTTTGAATATTTTGAAAGTATAGAAAACATGAAACAAACACACATACACAAACACAATGTGTGCATATACGCATGTATATCCCAATACTCCCAGAACTCAGAAAAATAAAGGCATTTTTAATAGTTTACACATAACAAAGTTATGTGTTTCTGAACTTAAAAAGTCGTTTCTGAACTTCAACTAGGACAATAAAGGTGAAGGAGCTAAACATTCACTTTGAACCAGTCTGCAGACTACAACTTTTGGACACTGCAACTGACGTGCACAGGTCATGAACCAGAATTCCAGGCTTAAGAAAACGTGGAGCTACTCTGTTATGTGTCAATGACGACTTTGGTCTGTGCACTTCGGCATATGTGCCCAATCTGTGAACTGTGTGGTTTTGGTTCATTGACCACAGACAGACACAGCTAAAGACAGAGCCTATTTGATTAGAGGCACTGTGCTTACTGAAATAATCTCTGGCTGCACCAGAGAACAGGCTGCTCTTTCATTTTATAATGAAGTTTTCTTAGGGTGTGTTCTTTGAAACCACTTGAAAAGTCTTTAATCTTATTACAAACTAGTTGACATTGAGTCACTTTCAGCTCATGGTGACCCCACGTGCTCCACAGGGTTTTCAGTGCTGACTTTTCAGAAGTCGATCACCAGAATTTTCTTCCCTGGTGCCTCAGGATGGACTCAAACCATCAGTGTTTTGGTTAGCAGCTGAATACATTAACCGTTTGAACCAACCAGGGATTTTACTATCATTCTAATCTATCATGGGAACTCTGGTGGTGTAGTGCCTAAGGCATTTGACTCTTAACCAGAAAGCTGGTGGTTCAAACCCACCAGCCACCCCTTGGAAGGAAGACTGGGCAATCTACTTCTGTAGAGATACCTCCTCGGAAACCTAAGAAGGGGTTGCTAGGAGTCAGATTTGACTCGACAGTAGTGAGTTTGTATGTATGTATAATCTATCATAAACACTTATTTCCAAAAAATTAGCTGCTGAAAATCCTACAGAGCACAGGTCTACCTGACACGTGGGGTCTCCATCAGTTGGAATCGACTCAACAGCAACTAGAAAAGAAGGCAATCATAAACACAGACTATCAGAATGCCAGAGCTTCCAGCGTCTGCAGTGAGTGACTGGGTTCCATCAAGTTTCTAAGTGATTTATGAACTCCCTAGTGTTCTGGTGGGAGCTCTGGCAGCGTAGTGCCTAAGGCATTTGACTGCTAACCAGAAGGGTGGCGGTTCAAATCCACCAGCCACTCCTCAGAAGGAAGGTTGGGCTAGCTACTTCTGTAGTGATATGGCCTTGGAAACCCAAGGAGGGGTTGCTGTGGGTCAGATTCGACTTGAGGGCAGTGAGTTTGGTTTTAGTTGTGTTCTGGCTAAAAAAAATAAGGGGTGCATATTAAAAACAAAGTACCATTGTTGCTTAAGCAGCACAACCATTCATTTTACCGCTGTAATCAACGGGCACGGGACAACTGTTGTTACTGCCGTTGGGTCAATTCCAACTCATGGTGACTCCCTGTGGGCAGAGTAGCACCGATGCTCCACAGGGCTTTCAAGGCTGTGGCCTTTTGGAAACAGATCACCAGGCCTATCTCCCAAGGTGTCTCTGGGTGGGTTTGAAATGCCAATCTTTCAGCTAGTGGTTAAGCACATACCATTTGTGCTACCCAGGGAAAACGAACAATTAGCATTACAAAAATTCTCTGGTAAAATGAATAATCTTGCAGTGTATTCATTTATAAAATTGTATTAAATGAGACACATAATTTTCATATGTGACCTATACCAAACTCTCAATAACTCTCAAGATGCAGTGATAGAAATATGAACAATAAGATTACTAACCATACCTGAACTAATTCTGCCTTTAGCTCCTCTTTTTCCTCTTCTGATAGCATGCTAGGAAAGTCAGCACTGGCTACTGCATCTTCATCTCTTCCTTGCAATGGTTCAGTCTCCAACAAACCTTGAGGCAAAATTGATAAAAGAGAATGCAATTTGAAAATGAATTTACTCAATTTCCATTTCCACAGTCTGAAGAACTAGATACTCTGACTGACCTTCCCACTGAAAACAACTAAAAATTTTAGAAAAAAAAGTCTTTCTAAATGTCTGATGAGCTTCTAAGAAAGGAAAGGACACTAAGAAGCCTCAAAATTAGTTAAAGTGGAAACCTAGAGATGTAAACCAAGCACACTTTTGCCAAGTTCTACATTTGCCAAATTGGTGAATTCCAGCTTCAGTTTTTCACGGTCTCATTGTGTGCAGGGGGCGGAGGCCACCCAAGGAGGAGAGTTTAATATGAGATCCCCGTACATAAATATCAGTCCCCATGGGATGTACCCTCAGAGTGCGGTGAATTAGAAATAAAGACTTCACTACCCATGGGGATCTGCAAAGCAAATTGCCTGTTTTGAAAGTCAGCACCAAATGGACAGAGCAAAAAGTCCTCCCTCTGAGAACTCATAGTCCTGAGTGGGAGTGCGTGGGAGCTTTCAACTTGACTATGTGCTACCTGGGAGGTCCAAAACCACCTCAAGATAATAATTTAAAATATTAAAGTCTTTTTTCCACTTCACATATAGTATTATATAAAGACACACATGGAACTTGGAGCAGCTGTGGCCGCAAGCAAGTATCACTGACAAACTGATTCTGGCAAAGTGGAAAGAGGAAGTGCCAGGATCCTCAATGAAATCACTGTGCCACAAACTAGCCTGGAATTGCTCTACTCCTGTTATGTGAGCTAAATGCCTTATTATGTGAAAAATGTTTGTCATTTAAAAAAAATAAAAGATGAAGTTCCCTAGGTAAGGCCCTCTAGCCCCTGGCATTCTCAAAGGCATATGTTCTCTTGAAGACCCAGCAAACAGACCCATATGTGTTTGAAAAATTCATTTATGATATGACTTATGACAGTACTTATACATGCATGGGTAAAGGAAGGCCTTTTAATAAATTATGAAAATAAATATACATAATCAATTCAACAGTTTATTATGTATTAAAATTGTTACTTTTTATTACATATGGAAAAAGTAAAATTGGGCACTTTCACACCATACAAAGTCAAAACTTCAGAACATATGGAGTCAGAATATTATAGTAGAAAATATAGGAGTTTGTATCTATGTACCCTCGGGTAAGAAGAAAATTCTTAAGCAAGACACCAAAAGGGGCAAGCCAGGAAAGAAAGAATGAATAAAATTAGAAATGTCTCTTTATCAGAAATACTATATGGAAAATAAAAAGATAAGCCACTAAACAGAAGAAGGTATATACCACATGTATAACTAACAAAATATTAGTTCCAAGTATATACAGAATTCCTACGAACCAATGAAAAAATAGAAATAAAACTCAAAGATAAACAGGCAGAATGACCTGGACAGACCCTTTATAGGGAGGAATCACAAATGGTTAATAAACGTAAGATGCTCACCGTCACTGATGGTCAGAGAAATTCCAGTCAAACCACTCCACATTCACTGTATCAACAAACATTTGGAAGCCTGATATTGTGGGGTAATGGTGACGATGAGAAGAATGAAAACTCTCATATGTAAGAGTAGATATGTCTATCGTTGTCTATTAAAGTTGAGCATTCCCATACCCTACAACCCAGTGATCCCACTACACCCACATTTATACCCAAACACTCTTGTACGTGAGCACCAGAAGGCATTAACAGGAACTTTCTTGGTAGCACAAACGGTAAGTCATACAAAAGACCGTAAACAAGAGAATGTATAAGTAAACTGTAGTACATCAACACACTGAAGACATGACCCTAACAAAACAATTGAAGGACAACTCCCCAACGCAGTCCTTTCAGTGACTCAAGGAACAAGCTCCTTAGTGAAAACATGTTGCAGAAGAGTGAAAATGAATGATTCAATTTACATGAAACCCAAACCATGCAAAAATAGATAAAGCATTATTTAGAAATAAAATGATTTAGTAAAATTTTAAGGAAAGAATAAAAAATTCAGAATGATGGTTTTCTCTGAGGAGGGAAGGAAGGAGATGGGAGCAGGGGTGTTATGGGGGATGTCACAGTTCATCTGATAGATGGTTTTCTCAATTTCTGTGCATGAGTATTTTCTGCACTTTATACTGATTTTGTAAATAGTCAGAATCGAAATAAGTGGGTTTGGTTATGGGTTTCTATTGTTGTTAGTTGCTGGTCAGTTTGCTCTGGCTTATGGCGACACCATTCACAACCAAATGAAACACCAGCCAGTTCTGTACCACCTTCATGATCAAAGCACTATTTTGGATAATAATATGTTGTTATCCATAGGGTTTCCATTGGCTAAAATTTGGAACTAGATCATCAGGCCTTTCATCCTACTGTGTCTTAGTCTAAAAGTTCCAGTGAGATCTGGTTGCCACAGGTGACTCTGCTGGTATTTGAAAAAATAGTAGCAAAGCTTCTAGGACCATAGCAACACATGAGCCACCACAGAAAGACAAAACGACAGGTGGTAGAAATAAAATGATCCATTATTAATAAAATCATTATTAATCATGTTGTTAGTTGCTGCCAAGTCAATTTCCACTCCAGAGTACCCCCCATGTGCAAATGAAGCTGGACTCCTAGAGTTTTCAAAGTGTCACTTCTCAGAAGCAGATTGGCAGGCCTGTCTTCTGAGATGCCTCTGTGTGACTTTGAACTGCCAATCTCTCGCCCAACCATTTGCTTAACCGTTTGCATCTAGAAAATAATGATCATTTCAGTCCATCTTTCTTTTTTGTCCTTTCTTCTCTGCATGTTGTTGTTGTTGTTATGTGCCGTCAAGTCCGCCCCGACTCATAGCAACCCCTCCTTAGGTTTCCAAGGCAGTATCACTATGGAAGTAGATTGCACCATCTTCCTTCCAAGGAGTGGCTGGTGGGTTTGAACCGCCAGCCTTCTGGTTATCAGTCAAGTGCCTTAGGCACTAAGCTTCTATGCATAGGTATGTATATTCATGCACACATACACATCAATAATGTATTTACTGCTGTGAACTTGATTTATTTATTCATGATCATCCATCCATATCTAAAAGTACATATTTACATTTATGTATTTTTTTATATATGCATAGTATCTAAATTCATTTATGATCCATTACATTCTGTTGTTGGGATGCTCCAGTGAACATTTTGTAGGTAAGTCATTAGGCAAAATCTTGATTAATTCCTGTACACCGAATTACTGAGAAAAAGGACATGGCTATTTTAAACCGATCACCAGAATAGCTCCCAGAAAAGCAGTACCAGCTTTATGTTATCATCAGCAACCTATCAGAATACCTCTATATTCTCTGTACAATAATATAACTAGGTTATTTAAAGGGGAAAAACATCATTATTCGTGCTAGCAAATATTTATGTGTACATGTGGCCAATGTATTCTCAGTGTCCTAGGTATATGATAACTGTCTAAATCAGGAATCACCAGCAATTCCAAACACAGGTACAAGAGTTGGGCCCAGAAGATAAGCTGCCCTCTGCTCTGGGGGTTAGGAGAGAGCTATAGCAGGAAGCTACAAGACTTGGTCTTCTCCCTATCTTGGCCCTCCTAGCAACTTAATGCTATTGCTCGAACTGAGTTAGAACCCAAATCCTCAACTGTCCCTCGTATTTGACAATATGAGAAGAAGGGAATAGACAATAGTCCCAGGCACTTAGACTTTTCAAGTCATCAAGCATCTTTAGCATCCTCCTACATTTTAGGAATAAAAATAAATAAATACTCATTTTTAATTGATGATATATGAATTTAGAGAAAGACTGACCCAGTACCCAGAAGGTAGCTTCTACTTCTTGAAGGAGAGATGTTTTAACCTTACAAAGTGAGATATTTGTGCTGGGCTTCAGCTCTGATCCATCACACAACCAGTTTCTCATAGACATCGTGGATCTCTCAAAGTCTCACTTCAACAGACCACCCAGTCATGCAATCTACCCAGAGACCAGGTTGTTGGAATGAAGAGTCAAGGTCTAATTAGCCCAGTTGCCTTCTGCACTCATATCTTGAAATTAGATGTTAGTCTCCCATTTTATTTTTCTACTTATGCATATAGTCTCCTGCTATACACTCATCTAGTGGGTGGTGTCTGAGCTGTACAGTTCAGAATAGGATGTCATGTAAACACAGACAAAATGAAAACAAGTCCTGCTGTTTTCAGAACATGTTTGACTCACTGGCTTAGAGAAGCAGCAGATTATAAAATCAAAGGATAATTCCAGAGTCAAAGTGTGGGTAAAAAGAGGAGTTGGATAATAAAGTTATTAACCAGTGAGACTGAGATAGAACCAGGAGAAAAATAAAGAGGCAATAGGTAAGACATTTCAGGTGACAGAAGATGATGTGATAAGAGAAGTAATGAATATAAAATTACCTAGTTGCCATGGAAGCAGATATTTGAGAAGATTGAAAACATATTTTTTAATAAAAGCAATTGTCAGTGGGCAAAAATACTCAAGAATCACAGTGTTTGGCAGGTACCAGTACATTATGGAGGGAAGAAGTGGTGTTTCAGTGGTAGAATTCTCATTTTCCAAGTGGGACACCTGAAAACAATTCCCAACCAGTGCACCTCATGTGTCATGATCACCTGTCTGTGTGTGTTGCTATGCTAAACAAGCTTCAGTGGAGCTTCCAGACTAAAACAGACTAGAAAGAAAAGTCTGGCAAGCTACTTCCGAAAAATCAGCCAGTGAAAAATCCTATGCGTCACGAGAACAGTCAATTTGCAACCAATCATAGGGATGGTGTAGGACCAGGCAGAGTTTTGTTCAGTTGTGCATGGCCTGAGAGCCAACTAGTCAGCAATTAAAAACAAGAAGCCTTAAAGCACTTGTCAAACGCTACCATGTGCCTTCTTTCACTATGACCAAAAATTGGCCAGCGATGCTCCATTTAAGTCCCATCCACTGGGCTGAATGATATGACAAACTGAACGGGGTGCAACT